ATAACTATTATACTATTACATATAATTATATTTTATTATATTGACCTTTCAGCTGTGCCTGGGTAACAATACACAAGTTACAGTGCTGTATTCAACATACCACATAACACACAAAAATTGATGTTTATATGTGTTTTATTAATACTTACTTTTAAATCAAGAAATTAAATAATGTATAACACTAAAATTTGAATTATAATCTACAGTTTGATACCAAACTTATTGAAATAAATTCTTGAAATAGTAGTTCAATAAAATTTTGAATGAGAGTCAACAAATGCAATGACATGGCCTTTGACTCTTGACCCATCTGGAGAGGGTTAATGACATCAAATGTGATGGTAACGATATCAATGTGATCTTAGTGACATCAGTGTGGTGGTAATGACATCAATGTGGCTTTAATGACATCAATGTGATGGTAAAGACATTAATGATATATTGTTACAATAAACTGAAATGAAAGTCATCCTCTTCCATCAACCTTGAGATTTGAAAGAGCCTCTTTTTCATGAAGTTTGTTTCACTTTTTTGTACCAAACTGTCAAAGACTTATTTCTGTCTACAGATATTGTACCTTATACACGCACCTATTTTTAAACCCAGTCACAACACATCATGAAATCATTTTTGTTAAAGCTGTAGCCAATCACAAATTCAATGTTTCAAGTGCAGAACAAACATTTTGTGGAAATCAAGTAGATTAAAATATTTCCACTTGTTCAATTAGAAAGGCTCTAGAGGGTTGGCAAGATTTATTACAGTTTGATCCAGTCATGCAGCTATTCTAACAAATATACCCCCCAGGAACTGTGTGTTTGTTATATATACATCTATGAAATCAGTCACTTATCACATAAAACAAGTTACTACTATGAAACAACATTTTTATAGAACAAACCCAATCCTCATAATGCAATTGTACACGAGAACAGCAGTGATTCCCAAAATTTCTTAGCATGTGGCCCATCCCGATTGAGGCTTCCACCCAATGAATCTATAGCATCTCAGTATCTTAACACTATTGTGTAGCCCCCGGTTTGGGAACCTCTGGGGTACAGTACTGTAGACTGGAATGAAATAACTTGAAGTTCATAAAATCAACAAACGTAGATCTTAAAGTTCTAAACAACCACTTAGTTTTATCTTTACAGTTAATATAGCTACACCTAAAGATCAAACTAAGTGGTTGTTTAGAACTTTAAGTCCACTTAGTTTGGTCTTTACAGTGTAGCTATATTAACACTTAAATTTCTAAACAACCACTTAGTTTGATCTCTACGGTGTAGCTGTATTAACACTTAAAGTTCTAAACAACCACTTAGTTTGATCTTTACGGTGTAGCTATATTAACACTTAAAGTTCTAAACAACCACTTAGTTTGATCTTTATGGTGTAGCTATATTAACGCTTAAAAGTTCTAAACAACCACTTAGTTTGGTATTTACGGTGTAGCTATATTAACACTTAAATTTCTAAACAAACCTTTACAGTGTAGCTATATTAACATTTAAATTTCTAAACAACCACTTAGTTTGATCTCTACGGTGTAGCTATATTAACACTTAAAGTTCTAAACAACCAATTAGTTTGGTCTTTACAGTGTAGCTATATTAACATTAAGTTAGGGTATGAAATTTCTTTCTTAATCATAGTTTTACTGTTTTAGTGTAGACAAAAACATACCTTAAACAGCCGTTAACATCATGTTTATGCTCTTACTTGTATATAATATCATATTTAAACACATACCCTCCAGTATAAACTACTGGATGTTAAGGCAAATACTTTCTTCAGTTATATTTTCACTAACAACATATCCAAATTTAGTTTTTTTAATTATTCAATACAAACCAGGATGGACGTCCACATCACCCAATATATGTACCACCAATCACCTCACCCTTCTTTTATACAGAAAAAGAGAAAGCCTTGCATGCATGATGGTTTTTACTACTTCTTGATATGTGTTTATATTTTTATTAATACTTGTCTAATCAGTGATACCTGTATGTATGTTTGTAAGTATACGTATATATATACTTACAAGTCCTTTGTCCCAAAAAAGAAAATACAATGTATAGGTTTCTTCAAAGCCGGACGTTTTATTTCTTTGGTCGGAATGGCAATCTAGTATTTTGAAAACAAACACAATTTTACTTAATATATAATAATGAAGACTTTTAAGTTTTACATTAAAGCTTCCTAAGTCTGTAATAACAGGATCACACAACCTTATGTAACAAGGAAGTTATTAATATCAAACGATAAAACACTAAATACTTCAAGATTTCTTTAGATATAACTTATAGTAATAACTTTAACCTTGGAATATTGAAGACACAATATGCTGTCTTTTGGAAATTTATTATGCAAATATGCACATAATTTTAATCTATCTAATTTTTGATATAGAAATCTTTGTAAGATATACTTTTCATTGAAGGCCAAGCTATTACAATTCATTTATAACACTTTTAAAATTCTCCATAAAAATTTCTTCCACATACCTATTTATTTAATAAGGATGGTCAGTATCACGGTGTTAATTCACGAAAAATTCAGTATTTAAATAGACTTTATAAATTTTCCCTTCTATAAATGCCTTGTCACAAAATTTTGATTTAAAACATAAATAATAACACACCTGATTGGATCTGTGGAATTAGTTAATACATAAATCACTGTGAAACTAATTTAAAACTCTCATTATTTTTCTAATATTTACTTTTACGTTACTATTACATGTAAATATTGTACCAAATAGAATTCAGACACACACAGTTTACTGTGCAAAGTAATAGCGATGACTTTTTGTATTTTACTTATAATATTAAACGAAGCGTTAACATTTTTCTGTAAAATAATTTTCTAGCTAAACTAATTATAAAATACAGTAGAATATAAATGAGCTAACTTAAAAGTAAGCAATGATAAGTAATACTAATAGTAATGGTCATTTTTAAGATGCAAATTCAATTTCAAGTGTGTTTTAACTAAACTGCACACATCACCCTCTTTAACGGTAAATTCAACTTGGACGTTACAACTACGAGCTAGCACTTTTGTTCAAACGAATACATTGATTTTGGCGTTATCAACTTACCTTCCCTGGCCAAGGTGAAAATCCTTTCATTTTCGCCCTGTAATTAAAAATATGCACAAAAAATTAGATAATTATACATAAAAACATTACGAAATCTTATGTTTATAAAGTTTTAAATAACTTCTTACCATACTGGATCTCCAATGGTAAACTTATAGTTATACGCCATTACAACAAAATACTATACTACTACTATAAACTTTTTACACAAATCAATTACTGACATCAATAATAGTCAACAGATGACACTACCATACAGTAGACGCTTTAGTATTGTGCACCTATCACCACCAGATGGCAGCAAATACCTTTTGCGTTTTTGTTCATATATAATCTTCTATTTTAAAATCAATAATAATTTTAAATCTGATTATAGTAATGTGACATTTGCGATGCCTTTTTCACTTTTTAGAAACTTAAATTATGATAATTTGCAAAAAAAAGCAAACTAAAATATTTTCATGAGTTGATAATGTCAAATCTAAGATGGATAACATTTTAAATTTAATTACACTGTAATCAATTGTAACCTAAAGTAATTAACACCTGCAAAACTATTCATGAATCATGACGTTAGAAAACACCTAGGTTCAAGAAATATATTTAATACAAAGATACGATATCCTATAACCATAGGGCTTTCGAAAGATGGACCATTCTTCTTCAGGGAAAATTGAAAATGAGCGTGTAAAGCAAAGTGTGAGATAAAGTGAAGTTTGAGTGACGTCATGCAGGCCACCATGAAAATCCGAAATGTTTTGAATAGCTTTCAATGTATTGTTATAAGTGTTTCTCATTTACGGTGCGATGCTTCCAGAAACAAAAACGTTAGGTATGAAGTTAGAGATGTATTGTTTTAAAAACGAAAAGTGGTCAAGAGAAATACACTGAGCTTTGATAATGTAAAATTAAGTGAGATATGAAGATTGGTGAAAAAAAAAGATATGTTAAACAGATATAATAAAAAGATGACATAGAAAATTATCACAAATAAATAATAAATTCAAATTCGATGACGAGGAACTCACTTTGAGACTAATAATGGCTGGAGACGGCTTGAATGGGTAATGTCATCATCAGGTACCACAAAACCTTGTCGAAACGTTGTGCATTTGCTGTTATGTTAAACTTATATTAAGGTGTTTCTTCATTACCCATTCAAGCCGTTTCCAGCCATTATTAGATAAATAATAAATAGTAGAAATATTAGGAATAAATATTGAAAATTCTCACCACATGGACAAAAAACAAAACAACAAAAAACTATATATTTTAAAACAAACCAATGACCGGAGATCACTGATCCCAGAATCTGATTTATTTCACAAGGTCAAACAGTATTTAAAAATGCAGTCTAATAAGCTTCTTTTATCTCTCTATCTCAATTTGGAATTCAGTTTTAATGCCGATGAGAGTAACATCGTTAATAGAATGACCGGGTTGGTTAAAGTGTTGGGCAAAAGGAAGGTCCTTTTCAATGTTAATAGAAGATTTATGGTTGTTGAAACGTTCTCTAAGAGTCGTTTGGTCTATCCTACATACTGGTGATTGCATTTTTTACAATGTATGAGGTAAATGTTTTTTTGTGTTGTGCAAGTAACTTCTTCAGGACTTTCAACGTGGTTGTTGAAAAATGAGTCCACCTGATACCAGAAAATAGCAACAAAAATATAAAATATAGCTCAAGAATATTCTTTAATCTTTAAATCTCAACTCTCCCGTGACAAATGGAGACGTAATTTGTAACTAACAAACAGCCTCTGAGCTAAGTGTGATTTTATGATTAAATATTTTAATTACGGTTTAAGAGAGCAAAAATGACACTTTTATCTGACGTCGTTTAGAAACCTACATATTGTAGTGATCATAAAATAAGTAAAGTATATTTCAATTATATCCATTAGTAAAATCCGATAAATATAGCAAAGGCTACATTTGTTTCATTTTTGCGATGAAAATCCCAGTAAAATAATCAAAATTTCGAATAAAAACAAGAGATGTAATCTCTATGTAATTCCACAAGTCTGAAAGTCATATAAATGGTCTATTGTTAGAAAACTGGTACACTTGGATTAACATATGTATCTCCTTAAAAACTATATCAAGAGTCCAATCCAACTTATGAATATTTGACCCACTAGGTGACGCCACTTATTTAAAACTTCAGGACTGCCCAACTTCAGCAATATAAATACAAATATTCCGAAAAACCGAGACAAACTCGTTAGCAAAGAAAAACCAATATTCGAAATTTGTTTGACCTACGTAAAGAATCAATAAATTCAAAAATATCTAAAGGGGTCAATTTTTATAATTATTGTTTCTTGTTTGAACTGACAGATAATCAAGTGTGATATATTCTAGTTTTGAACACGATGTGGCACTAGAAATCCCACCCGAGTTAAACTTCACTTCTGTAACTCTATATATTAAGTACGTCCATGTGCAAAAACCTGAAATAAATTTGTTTTAATAAAAAGTCTAAAAGATTTCTTAAAAAGGTATCATTGGCAGATTACAGTTCGTTAAACGGTAAGAGTTTGATTTGAATTAACTATATAGAACATAACACAAGGTTTATTAGAGTTGCTCATTAATGTAGTAATTCAAATAACGTCTAGTTTGACCAGTATATTTTTTTGTTACATTCACATCTAATTTGATATATACCTTTTTTTTTTTTGTAGAACATCTTTTCTATCTTTAGTGTCAGGAAAAATTATTTTAATTTTGTTAGGAAAAAATTATGTTTTCTAAATTCATTGGCAATTTGACTAGTTATACAGTTTACATATTGTTGCGTCAGCGGAGGTCACGTGAGTAGTATCACGCCACGTCCTTCTCGAACATTCACGTCCCTTCCTTCAATCTCGGGATCCTTATAGATATAGTGTAGTCTTGTATATATAAGACGGTCACAAAGTGACGGAACAATGTGTAATTGAACTGAGTATTGTTGAGTCGAGCACGTGAGACGTTCGTTGAGAATTAAAGCGTTTGTTATAGCGCGACTGTTGAAATTAAGTGCATCACAAAGTTATATTCAGAAAGAATAAACCAGTTTTATTTAAGAAAGGACTTGTGTCGCTAAAGTTTCGTCAGAACGAATTTACGGAAAATCAACTAACGAACGGAGACGTAACAAATTGGGGTCAGAGAGTGGGACAAAAAATGGAAACGAGAAGCGGCAAATGAAACTACAGCTTAGCAGACTTGATGTCAGCAATACAAGAGCAGCAAAAGAAACAAGAAGAACGAGAAACTAAACAAGAAGAGAGATTACAGCAGTTGTTGGAGGAAAAAGAAAAGAAAAGAAACAAGAAGAGAGACAACAGCAGTTGCAAGAAAACCTGCAACAGTGGC